TGTTATTGTTATCTTTATTTTCTGCTATCTTGTTAATTATGCTTTGTGTGTGTGTGTGCGTGTGTGTGTGTGTGTGTGTGTGTGTGTGTGTGTGTGTGTGTGTATGTGGAATGTAACCTTTACAAGAACATAAGACCTTTACGTAATGCCAAGAGGTGTGTGACTCCGAGACCATTGTTATGATATGGTCTCTAAGCTGTTTGAATCCCCGAGACCTTTCCTATCACATGATCTAACTAGAAAACCATAAACCATTAACACATCTACACCTCACTCTCCCTGTGGTCTGTTGTTGTCCCAGGAGCCAGCCAGCAAGGACAGGCCCAGCAGCCAGGAGGTGTAGCGTGAACCCAGCCAACACACCCTTGACATTTATACACTAAGATATAGACCGGTGACCAGCATTCTTCTGTGAGGTGAGGTGGGGCACGCAGTATGACTCTAAGCTGGCTGTCTCTCTTTCTCTTCAAACTAAATGCCTCTCACACTGTCCCTTCACACTAATTGTTTCTCTCTCACACACACACTTATCCCCCTAAATATCTATTGTCACACTCCCTTCACACTAATGTCGCAACGTATAAATACCTCATGTTTAAGATAGAGTCTCACCCTTTTATACACTTTAAAAAGATAATCCTTCACCCTAGTGTTAAGAGTCACACTAACCCCCTCCCCCTCTCCAAGCAGTAGGTATTAACACAGAATTTATGGCATTCGGAAAAAAAATAAATTACCTCGAGGGTCACATTTCTCAACACTCCAGGAATGTGGTGGGGGAGTGGGGGGGGGTGTTGGGAGTCCGTAATAATAGGATAATATGATGCAAAATATTTACGAAAACAGTAAAAATCAGTAATCTATAAACACTGGAACCCCCCCCCCTAAAAAAATACGAGTAAAGTGAGGGGAGAAAGGGGAAGGTTCACCGCCTCACCTGTCAATATGGTGAAGAAATGTCGAGTTATGAAGGCCAGGTGAGTTCTTGTGTGCGTGTGATAGAGAGAGTAGCCTTGATTCACATAACTTCACTCTTACACATGTTAGATACCCTTTCCTGTGATCACTCTCTACAACACACATTTGGACCAACTGCTGAATCACGCCCACACCAACGCACCCATACCACCGCACCACATCACCGCACCCTGACCACAACACCACACCAACCACGCCACTGACCATCTATCATTAAACTACTGAATTACTACAAATGTGAATAACAACATTACCTACTACCATGCTATTTAGAAGTTAACTATTCAACAACACCAAATTCAAGTTTGTTTTACTCCTCGTCCTGTGTTTCGTATCTACTCCCACAAACTAAGTTTCACACCGTCCTGGGTTATAAAATTCCTAGGATTACCAATTTTTTTTCCCTTGCCCGAACTAAAGCTTAAGACTCACACCATCCTAGTTCCTAAAACTCCCATTACTTAGTTTTTTTTCCCAACCCAGACTACACCTATACCCCACACCATCCTACTCTGTATATCCCAAAACTCCCAAGACCTGTGCTATATATTTTTTTTCTTCATATACCGTATTAAACTTGCGCCTCTCACCGTCCTGCATTTCACAAGCATTTATACACTCGTTTTTCCTCCTAGTGCAGTCGCCCTCCCCAACTCTCACCAACCTGGGCGCCATAACTGAAGCTGCCAGTCACCGAGGCCAATATTTGCGTAAGAACGAGCTGTAGTGACTGTAGCTTATGGCGCAGACTACACCCCTCACACATCCTTCCTACAACAACGTCAAGTTATCGTCTAGGCGGACACTTGTAGCAACATATCTCAGTTAACATTATACTGTTTACCTGTTTACAGTAAACTAATGTCTCACCACACTATCTGTTAACGGTAAACCTGTCTCCCCGCACTATCTGTTAACGGTAAACCTATGTCTCCCCGCACCATCCGATAACAGTAACTATCATCTGTTCTGTTAACACCTCACCACCAGTCCGTCTCTCATCAAACTGTTAACGGCACAAGCAGGAAGCACCAAGACGTCCTCCATACACCCGACAGCGCCGTTAAACAGTACACAACAGTGGGTGCCTCCAGAACACGACCCTCCCTTATAGATGATGATCGTAGTTCCGGGTTGTGCTGTGTGTCTTCCTCTCTGCTTTGGTAACACCAGTTATTACTTCCTCGAGGGAGTAGGAAAGGGAGGGGATGAATGGAGAAGGGAAAGGGAGGAAGGAGGAGGCTAGAAGGAAGGGAGGGAGGAAGAGGGACAGGACAATGGAGGAAGGGAGAGGGCGAGATTAGGAGGGAGGCAGGAGAAAGGAGGTGGGAGGGAAAGGAAGAAGGAGGAGAGGGAGGGAGGTGGGGAAGGCAGAATGACGGGGAGGGAGAGAGAGAAAGGAGGAGGGAGCAAGGAGGAGGGGAAGGAAAGGAGGAAGGGGAATGAAGAAGGAAGGGGAAGGGAAGGAAGGGGAAGGGATGGAGGAGGGGGATGAAGGGGGCGAGGAAGGAAGGGAAAGAAGGAAGGGGATGAAGGGGAGGAAGGAAGGGGAAGGGGATGGAGGAGGGGGGGATGTGAGAGGAGGGAAGGGAAGGAAGGAGGAGGGAGGAAGGAGGGGAGGGGGAAGGAGTGGGGGTAGGGGACTGATGGGCAGTATGTATAGACCTCCCGTTTACTGCGTGACTCTTGCCTCTGGTGGCAGTATAATACTGTTGGTGTGGTTTACCGATAGAGTGGTGAACTGTGACATAGCTCTCTCTCTCTCTCTCTCTCTCTCTCTCTCTCTCTCTCTCTCTCGGGTGAATCAAGGGGTACAGAAACCTCAAAAAAAAGAAGAGACAAATAAAAACAATGAGCCAAGTGCAGGACAAGAGAGAGGAAAGTGACCACCTGAAGATTGCCCCCCCCCCCAAAGATTATTACCTGTACACACAGTAAAAAAGGTATCGCACAGGGGGGTCTGCTGACTTCCGTTGGGTGTAAACGGGACTGCCCAGTATGGGCCAATAGGCCCGCTGCAGTTTCCTCCATTCTTATGTTCTTATGCCTACATCACATGATGTGCCGGGAGGGTTGGTATGCGTGGCTGTATGGCAAAGGTTTCCACCTACCTATGGTAGGGCAACAGATATGTGAGGACACCCTCAGGCAAGGGCAGCAGGACTACCACCCTAATACAGGACCAACATTATCCCTCGTCCGTGGTGTTCTATTGTTTCGCACATAATCTGTGCGGTACTTTTTTTTTTACTGTGTCCACCCTAACGCTACCAGGGGGATAAGGTGAAATAAGGAGTGGATGGTTAATCTCCAGGTATCTGTGTGTGTGTGTGTGTGTGTGTGTGTGTGTGTGTGTGTCCTACGGTCAACGGTAATTTCTCTGGACCCAGTTGAACGTGAGGCTTCCACACCTCACTTCGTCAGTTCATCCGTCTGTTACGGTGTTACGAGGTGTGATGGAGTCTTAATGAGAGAGAGAGAGAGAGAGAGGTCACCACAGTGTGGAGGGAGGCAGGTGATGCACTTCACAGGTCGTCAGTCACAAGCCAACTTTATTCACCTGTGTCCCCTCCACCCCATGTCATCCTCCCCTCCATCTGCCACCCCCTCCCTTGCCAGCATTTCTCCTTCCCTCAAAGTGCCACTGTCTTCCTTTCATATCTTCCCCTCTCTCCTCTTCCTCCCTTTTCCTACCAACACCCCCAGTCCCCATCACCACCTTTCCCCCTCCTCTCCCCCCTCACCTTCCCACCCCTCCCTTCAGTTAGTCCATCTCAATTAACTTTTGTCAGTGATCTTGGGAGTCAACACCAGCACGCTCGTCTCCACCTCACCAAGAAGTGTGTACAGTCTTCACGGTGGTGCCTGATGAGCGATGATTAACGCGTCATTCATTACAGAGCCGAACTGTGCATTAAGTTCAACATCAATGGATAGCAAGTTCAGAATAAATATAAACTTCCAAACATCAAAGTGAATAAGCAAAGCACAAAGTATTGTTCTTCAAAATACACTAAACCCTCACAATGAATTACTCATGATACATTTCCACGTCATTCATACACGAGTGCTTTCACGATGAATACAACATGACTCATCCCACAGTGAATAATTATGAATAAAAACCCTAAGACTTGCTACCTCCCATCTCAAGGTCCAGCAATCTGCACGACAATTATCAAGATAAGTGAGACAACAATCGAAGAAACGTACGAGACTGTGAAGGCCACCCGCCGCCACTCTCCGCTGCCCCAGAGTGTCACTTCGTATATCCGTCACCACCTCGTAAACACGGCGGATGCAATGCTCGGCTGCCGTTCACTTCCCTCCAGGACACAGACTTGGTGATCACACTGCAATGCTCCACTGGTGCTTATATCCCTCTAGGATATTACAATGAGTTGGTGACTTGCTGGTTAACACAGTAACACGCAAGGCAACGTAAGTCTGTCTCTATGTTAAGCGTTCCCAGTGTAGAATCCGCACACGCCTTTAAGTACTTTCCCTATGCAAATTAACGATATAATGACTTACTAATTATAGGTTAACACATCCCACAGCTGTTCTTGTTGTTCATCTTAATAATATCTCTTTTTTTGTTTTGTTTATAATGATGCCAGCAAGATTCACCGTCCAGCAGTACTTCAAGTTGGTATACCCTATTCAGTATCTGGCATTTTATCCACCCAGTCACGCACGCACACTCAAACAGAAGTATTTGTGCTTTCTTAACCTCAGTGAAATTCAGAATTAATGACACGAAATAACTCGACTATTATTCAAAGAAAAGTTTGACAGAATTAATGTTAAAATGACAACTCTCATACCTACACGATCCTCCGGCAGATGTTGATAAAAGTGTCCAGGGTTTTTTGTCCATAATTGTACATAAATACTAGCAGGAGGTAAACAAACGCCAGCAAGATGTAAATAAACACCACGAGGTAACAAACAGCAACAAGAAGTAAACAAACAAAAATAAGTAAACACAAACAAGAGGGAAACAAACAGGAGGTACTCACCTAACTTGCCGTTGACAATGTCGAACTGAGACGCGTCCTCACGGATGAACACCGGGTTCTGGACCAGCTCCTGCAGAGAACACAGGTCAAGTACTCTGGCTGGTAGGAAGGTCACGTCAAATATATAGGTAACAGGAAGGTTTGGTCAATATTTTGGTAGCAGGAATGTTAGGTAAATCATTCTTGAGAGCCATAAAAGTCACGTCAAATTAGGTTGAAATATCCGAGTGGCAGGAAGGTCAATTACAAGCATGCATAAATGACGTCAAATATTCAGCAGAAAACAAGGTCACATATCTGTAGAAAGGTCACATCATGTCAAATATTTGGATGACAGCAAAACCAAGTAACCGGGGTCAAATAACATTAAATAATGAGATGACAAAATAAGTTCGTGAATAAACAATGTCAAATTAGTTAATCACGAAACATGTATCTGAACACACACACACACACACACACACACACACACACACACACACGGAAGGGAAGTATATTAAACCTGACCAAATGACTGAAAGATATTGATAGATTGACTGCGAATGACGGTCCTTGAGGCGAGGTCATCCACAGGTGGGAAACAGGGTCATGGTGACTTACACTCGACCGTAATGAAGTTATGTTTAAATCATTATTAATGTTGAGTGTCACGAAAATTCAGGTGTGTGTGTGTGTTATTTATTTATTAACGAAAATGGATATTAATATACACTGCTCTTTTTTTCACACACACACACACACACACACACACACACACACACACACACACACACACACACACACACACACAGCTTCACCCACCTGGCACCATCTTCAAACACAGGTGGCACATTCATACTACCTCCCTGGCACCCCACCCCCCACACACACCTGCCCAAGCTCCTAATTACTTCCCGGGGGGGAGAGGGGGGTGTAAGGCTACTTAAGATGTTCCCTGTAAGATGATTCTGGGGAGAGGAAGGGGTGGTTAGTATGATAAGTCATTACCACTTAATTAGGTTTAAGTCTCTAATTAATTCATTACAATTTGATTATAGCGTTTACTGTACGATGATAAAGACAGACAGACAGACAGACAGATAAACGAAGAGAGAGAGAGAGAGAGAGAGAGAGAGAGAGAGAGAGAGAGAGAGAGAGAGAGAGAGAAGAGAGAGAGAGAACTTTCCCAAATTTCAACACAATTCTCCCTTCCTGCCATGCACGACAACCACCATTACTACCACTATTACCACTACAACTACTATTATCACTACCACCACTACTACTATTACCACTACCATTACTAGGTTAGGTTAAGTTAAATTAGGTTAGGTTTTGTCCTTAGTACACTTCCTCTCTCTCAAAATTTCTTTCATGCTTAGTCTCTCTCCTTCCTCCCTCCCCCAGGTGACCTTTGACCCCTGGTGTGGTGAAAGGTACATTGCAACAAGGAGGAGCATTTGTGATAATGACCCAGTAAGTATTGTTGACGTGTGGGGTCACTGCCTCCCTCAGAAAGTTACTCGCAATAGATAGATCGATAAAGTGAGGGTTCAGTGCCACCCATGACACAGAGAGAGAAAAAGAGAGAGAGAGAGAGAGAGAGAGAGAGAGAGAGAGAGAGAGAGAGAGAGAAAAGAGAGAGAGAGAGAGAGAGAGAGAGATTATTCCCCAAAATCTTATACATTTAGTGTAATATTAAGCAAAAATTACTACACTTAATACAATGGATCGCAAGACAGTCGAAGCCAAGAGTACAGGTTGTAAACTGGTTTTTTGTGTTGGTGCTCTGAAACCTCTGTACTGTACCTGTATTTGAATATACTGTAACACTGATATCCCACAGTAGGATGTCAGTGTAATGATGTATTGCATTGTATAATTTCTTCAGTTATATACAAGTACACTGTCGATAATAGCGAACCACGTAGCAATGGCATTATATTGAGACACATATTTAGATTTAAACGTGAAAAAGATAAATTGGTTTGAAAACAGAATTGAGGATTAAATTAAACTGAAATAAACTAACCTAATTTAAAATGACCAGATTTAAGCTGAACTAACCTGCCTTAACCTAAGTTTTTTATATACTCTATAAGGAGTTAACGTGAACGACACTGAACTAGACCAACTGCCTTACTCAAAAGCATAGTTAGGTCAGTTCACGGGTCCAAAGTTGGAATGAGACTTGAATTTTGGGTGGTGGGCTCTCTCTCCACACACACACCATTGAGTCGCACAACAATCACTGACTCATATGTTTGAGTCACTGGACCACATACTCACTCAGTCCTTGGCCAGAATTCACAAAAATTCTTACGTTAAGCTAAGCTACTGAAATCGTATCCAAGATGGCGCCGGAATAACACCAGGACTTTATAATAATAACAACAGTCATCTTATTCCCATCATTAAAGATATATCACAAAACTTACACACACACACACACACACACACACACACACACACACACACACACACACACACTATGGCGACACAAAAATATTAAGACTATACATTAAGATTACGGCACGGTGATCAAGTCCAATATGGCGTCATAATAACAGTGAGACTACAATAATACGTTACATTATTTATTACTATCGAGTTGAAAATTATTCCTTATAATAGAGCCAGAGTAGAGCAATCTATTGCCCACGGGTGTAACACTATTGCCCCCGGTGTAACACTAATGCCCACGGGTGTAACACTAATGCCCACGGGTGTAACACTATTGCCCTGGTGACTATTCCCACGGTGTAACACTAATGCCCACGGGTGTAGCACTATTGCCTATGGTGTAGGGGTGTAGCACTATTGCCCAGGGTGTGGCACTATTGCCCACGGGTATGGCACTATTGTTCACGGGTAGCACTATTGCCCCTGGTTGTAGCATTATTGCCCCGGTGCAGCATTATTGCCCCGGTGTAGCATAATTGCCCACGGGTGTACTGCTATTGTCCACGGATATACCACTATTGCCGGGTGTGGCACTATGCTACGGGTGGCACACCCCACGGGTGTGCATTATTGCCCACGGGTGTAGCACATTGCCCACGGTGTAGCATTATTGCCCACGGTGTAGCACTATTGCCCACGGGTGTAGCACAATTGCTCACGGGTAGCACTATTGCCCACGGTATATGGCACTATTGCCCACGGGACTGTCCCTGGTTGAGCATTACGTCCCGGGCATTATTGCCCGGTGTAGCACTATTACCCACGGGTGTAGCACTATTGCCCACGGGTGTACTGAAGGTGTGTTCCCTTGCGGCGTTGTCATTCACTGTGACCTAAATAACTGGTTACACTTTCTCGCTGTCTGGAGGGCAATATTTGAGAGAGAGAGAGAGAGAGAGAGAGAGAGAGAGAGAGAGAGAGAGAGAGAGAGAGTTATTATAAATAATTTACCTCCATGACTTTCAAGTAGATGATGCCAGATGGTCACAAGTGTTCAGAGAATTTTGTCCACAACTGTATATACGAAGGTAATTTATCGATATAAGTGTAGTGTTTATCGCCTATAGTTTGTATTAAAAAAACTCTAGTCTAAAATTTGGGGCTGATGCAGTCATTATTTTCTCTATATTTATATGTTTATTGAAATGTTTAATTTTTTCTTCTAAAATCTAAAAAAATATAAATAAAGTTTTTTCTTTTTTTAAAGTTGTAACAAAAATGATTTTCTTTCGATCATTTAAAACAAATGCAAGTTGGCGACGATGTTATACCGGTGTGTGTGTGTGTGTGTGTGTGTGTGTGTGTGTGTGTGTGTGTGTGTGTGTGTGTGTGTGTGTGTGTGTATAAAAATTCCACGACCTTCAGAATCTTTTATTATCGAACTCCCTGTTTTATACACGCACACTGAAATGATACACAACACACACACACAATGTGCTCACACAGAAACACAACAGATACACACACTAGGCACACAATACAAATGCACACAATACGAGCGCACACACAGGCGCACACACAATAAAAATGCAACATATGTACACCCACAAAAAAATTATTCGGCACTCTTACGGCGTGATACAATGTGACACGGGTGCCGAATAATTTTTTTGTGGGTGTACATGCGTACACACAAAAGGACACAAGCGCTCTCGCACGCGCGCACACACACACACACACACACACACACACACACACACACACAATAAAATTGGGGAAAAATAAGCAACAAAAAGTAATAAAAGAGAGAGTAAGGGAGAACAAGGTCAAGTTGAAGGAAGTGGAGGAAAGTTGACCTCACGCTGTCTAGGAAGAGAGCGAGGAGGAACGAAAGAAGAGGAGTAAGGGGGGCACAAGGAAGATGAGGGAGGAAATGAAAAAGAAGAAATCAATAATGAAGGTAAAAAACCCATCCAGCTACATACCTCGTACACCCAGGCATCACAACATTAACCAATCACTAATTAAAATTGCTGAGACGCAGAAACTTATTAACCCAGCATGACCCCAACCTGTAACTGGGTATTCATCAGCTGGTGTGAACTAGACTAAGGCAGTGTGTTAATCCATCTCGTTTCCCACGGCTGGGTAACAGGGAGAGAAATGTACAGGGGCCCCATGTTTAGTTGTAGCAGAGAAGGTAGAGTGAACACCGCAACCACGCCTTTAACACCATCGCTTCGGTTACCTCTCTGAAATATCGTATCCCTGGTGTCATAAATCACAGATCAGCAATATGATGTATGTATATGTGGGGGAGGGGGGGGGGTTAGTCTCAGTAGAGCGGGTAATTGGAATAGACACCAGAACTACGCCTTGGGGACACCAACGTCTACATCACCCAGTGCTTAACATAACAGAAAGTAGTGCCCTGGGACCCTACATTGGTATATGTGCCTAATTTTCAGAAATACAGAATAAAATACTATTATTATTATTATTATTATTATTATTAACATTATTATTATTATAGCATTATTGTAATGAATCTAATGGGAGTATTTGACTATGTTAAGCTAAGTACTATTATAAAAAACAATATAGAAACGATAAAAAGACACCAGGTGAACGGAAGACACCGGTGAACGGAAATAGACACCGGTGAACGGAAATAGACACCGGTGAACG